AAACAGCTCTGCCGGCGTGGCTAAGTGGTTGAGCATCAACCGATAAACCAGGAGGTCATGGTTTGATTCCTGGTCAAGGGCACATGCTCCATCCCCAGTGGGAGGCATGCAGGAGGCCGCTGATCAATGATCCTCTCTCATCATTGATATCCCTATCTCTCTCCCTTTCCCTTCTCTCTGAAATAAATAAAAATGTATTGAAAACATCAATAAAAAGTGATAATTAAAAAAATTGTTTTGGTAAAATAGACTCAAAAGCCCCATGTTGTTCATAAAACTTTTGGGGAAATTATCCGTATGAAACCAGATGTCTGGGCACCCTGTTCTAGGTTATGCTGGGACAAACAGGGAAACTGATTTCCACACCCACAGTTCCCTACCAGACCCCATCAAGGTTTTTTGTTTGTTTGTTTTTTATTCAGTTATTTTTTTTAGAGAGAGAGGAAGGCAGAGGGTCACAGAGAAAGAAACACCGAGGTGCTGCAGCTCTTCCTACAATTATCTGGGTACAATTGATTTATAGTGGGGTGTGTTTTTTGGGGGGGTGTCTTTTATTTTATTAACCTTTGAAAAAAAATTTTTGTTAATCCTCACCTGAGGATATTTTTCTATTGATTTTTAGAGAGAGTGGAAGGGAGGGGGAGAGGCAGAGGGACAGAGAAACATCAATGTGAGAGAGACATATATCAATTGGTTGCATCCGCAAGCATCCCTACCAGAGCCAGGGATTGAGCCTGCAACCCTTGACTGGAATCAAACCTGGGACCTTTCAGTTGAGGGCTGATGCTCTATCCACTGAGCCAAACCAGCTAAGGCATCTTTGAAATGTTTATCCGAAGTAAATATAATAATGCTCACTGTGGCCAGACACAGACTGTCTGTGGGAAAACATCTGTGTCCTCCCCCCACCTCCCCATCCCTCTAACAGCCCTTCCCTCTGGGTGGTTGGACAGCACTCAGAGAGCTAGTGAGAGGCTCTGTCCCAGGTGTTCCAGTCTGAAAATCGGATGTATCCACATTATCCAGCAACTGGGTTTTTGATTATATTTATATATATATATATATATATATATATATATATATATATATATATATATAATATTGATTTCAGAGAGGAAGGGAGAAGAGAGCTAGAAACATCAATGATGAGAATCATTGATCAGCTGCCTCCTGCACGCCCCCCACTGGGTATCGAGCCCACAACCTGGGTATGTTCCCTTACCAGGAATCAAACCATGACCTCCTGGTTCACAGGTCAACTCTCAACCACTCAGCCGTGCTCGCGGGGCTCATGCTTTTTAACCCTCAGGTGAGGATTTCATTGAGTCCAGAGAGAGAAAGGAAGGGAGGAGAGAAACATTGACATGAGAGGATCATCCATTAGTTGCCTCCAGTACCACTGAGGATTGAACCCACAACCTGGGTATGTAGCTCAACTGATAATTGAACCCTTCCATACACTGGACGACGCTCCAACCAACTGAGCCACACTGGTCAGGACCTTTCATACTTTTTATAGTTACATAACATTTTAAAAAATGTAGTAAAATAAGTAACTTTTCCTTCATGGTTTCCCAATTTCCTGTCCATGTTGCTTAAGACATTCTTTCCCATCTCTGTATTCTAAGTGATGTATTCTAAGTTTCCTTTTTAACATTTTATACTTGGCAGTTGACCATCTGATCTAGTTGGAATTCATTTTTTTGTATGCCATGAGATAGAATACAGAACTGTGTATATGCAAATGCCTCTAGACCAGTGGTTCTCAACCTTCCTAATGCCGCGACCCCTTAATACAGTTCCTCATGTTGTGGTGACCCCCAACCATAAAATTATTTTCGTTGCTACTTCATAACTGTAATTTTGCTACTGTTATGAATCGTAATGTAAATATCTGATATGCAGGATGTATTTTCATTGTTACAAATTGAACGTAATTAAAGCCTAGTGATGAATCACAAAAACAATATGTAATTATATATGTGTTTTCCGACGGTCTTAGGCAGCCCCTGTGAAAGGGTGGTTCGACCCCCAAAGAGGTCGCGACCCACAGGTTGAGAACCACTGCTCTAGACAGAGTTCCCTGGTCGCTGGGCCTCAGTTCCCAATCTTGAAAATGAAGCCCCCTGAAGGTGGGTTCTGGAGTTCTTTCCATTGCTAATGCTGCTATTTAGCAAAGATCTCTGGACTCCAGTCTAGGGCTCCTTGTGTACCTAAAAATTAGCCAACTCCCTAGATAGAGGACTGAGGGCTGAGGCACCTGCTACTTTCCCCTCCTACCTGGTAGGGAACTTGGGCACAGGAAGCTTAGGAAGTGGCACACTCAAGGGAGGACCTTGGAGTGAGGAGGGCTGGTGGGGGGCCTCTGAGCCCAGCCTGGGGCAGGAGATGGGTCTGGGATGGAACAGTCGCCAGTGTTGACCACAGCTGCTGTCCCCAGCATAACTAGGTCATTGTAGTGCGCTAAAATCACAGCTCTACAAAACCCAGAACTGATATCTGTCCCTTTAAATTCCGAACAGCAGGAGCCTCTGCTGCCAGGGGTGAGGAAGGCCCAGACTGAAAATTCCAAAGGAACAAAGGGTCTCTTTTGTGCCTCTCACCTCTGGCTTCCTTCTTCCTTGGGCTTCCTTCCTCCCCAGTCTCCAGCCTCCACCCCCCACTTCATTAGCCTTAAGTGGCCTTGGGCTTGGTGGGTCAGCTTCTCCTCCCTCCCTCCAGTTTACCTCACCCCTTCCCTCAGTATAAAGTTCAAAAGGTACAAACAGGTATAGCACCCCACCCCCAGCCCCAATCCCATCACTAGCCACATGGTTCCCTCCAGGCTAACCCTGTGCCCTTGCTGCTGGAATCTTATTCTATGCCTTTGAGACATGCAAATATATATGTATATATGTTTTAATTTCCAACAAAAGTGGTAACTTTCTGCCCTTTCCTTTTCTGAGCTAAAGCTAAATCTGGTAGATCATTTCCAAACAGTACACAGAGCTTCCCAGTTTCCTTTCGCAGTCCCATTATGTTATAGTGTTTGTCTGAGTCGAGGTATGGGCATCCATGAATCGAATATCCCATCCCCTCAGGACCAATCTCCACAGGGAAAACTCACAGCAGTGGAATAACTGAGGCAAGGCTACGCACTCAAGAGTTCAGAGGCTTCCTAGAGGCTCACTACACATAAGAATGTCTGTTGGCTCACAATCTCACCCTTCATGTTTGATTAAATTTTCTGACCTTTGCAGATTTGTTAGGTGAAAGAAAAAAAAAAAAGGATCTGGGAACTTTTTCATTTGAACTTAAAACTATAAGGAGGGAAGTGGAGCCTGTTCCTGTTCATTTGCATTTCCTTTCCAGTATTCTCAGATCCTTTTGTATTGGAGGATGGGTATTTTTTCATTGATTTGTAGGGGCTCTTTATTACTAACTAGAGGCCCAGTGCACCAATTCGTGCACAGGTAGGGCCCTTAGTGGCTGCCAGCTGCCAGCCGGGGCCTCCCTTCACCAGGCTGCCTGCTGCCACTGCCTCCGGGGATAGGGCCGTGGGCAGTTGGCCACCTGGCCTACCCCCTGGTCAAACTCCTGGTTGAGGGGACAATTTGCATATTAGGCTTTTATTATATAGGATCTTTTTTTTCTTTTAATATATTTTATTGATTTTTTACAGAGAGGAAGGGAGAGAGATAGTCAGAAACATCGATGAGAGAGAAACATCGACCAGCTGCCTCCTGCACACCCCCTACTGAGGATGTGCCCGCAACCCAGGTACGTGCCCTTGACCGGAATCGAACCTGGGACCTTTCAGTCCGCAGGCCGACGCTCTATCCACTGAGCCAAACCGGTTTCGGCTATATAGGACCTTTTTAAGATTGGCCCTTTGTAATACAAGGTGCAAGCCTGTCCTCTCCAGTTTATGTCTTGGGTTTTGTTTGTTTTTTATTTCACTTATCTAGTTTTGTTCTGCAGAAAACATTTTCACCTAGTGGAATTTTCCAGTGTTGCCTCTAAAGACTTCTGAGTTTGTGGCCATATTTAGACATGCCTTCACTTCTCCAAGACTCTAAAATCTTACCCAAGTTTTCTTCTAGTCCCCATCATTTCCTATTTATGCTTAAATCCTTAGGATTTGGGATCTATCCCGAGGTAGAGGGTGAGGAGTTAGTCCCACTCAACAATGTAAAATTCCCACATGTCTACGGAGCCTTTCATCTTTCAAATGTGTGTGTGTGTGTGTGTGTGTGTGTGTGTGTGTGTGTGTGTGTGTGTGTTTACACACACTCATTTTGACTTTGCGGAGTGACAGCCCGGAGTTCAGCTCTGGGAGGGGCGCAGCCCCGGGGAGGCAGACATGGGTGTGGGGCTCGCCAGACTGTGCGGCGGCTCTGCTCGAGCCATTCCTCAGCCTGCCCCGCCGCGCCTGGCCCACATTCAGCGAACTCACCCACTCGCGTCCCGTGGGACCACCCTGCGCCTCCAGGAAGCCTTTGGAGCTCTCCGCGCGTCCCCCGCCGCCTGGAGTCTCCTGCGCGTTTTAATTCCCGCCCCGAATTCCTGCCTCGGTCCCTTGTCCCCCGCGCGTACCGCAGGACCGTCCATCCACCCCGCCACGCATACCCCTCCTGCGCGAGCGGTCGCCCTCAGCCCACGACCTCGCTCTGACCCTTTCCTCGTGCACCCCTCCGTCCTCCTGTCGGCCCTGACTGCGTCTGCCCACCTTCCCCCAACCCGGCCTCAGGTCCACCTCCCGGCCCCGCGTCAGCCCAACGGCACACGGTGCCCAACCCCACACCGCACCCCGCCCCGCGTCACCCTGATCCATGTAGCCCCTGATCCCGCATCGCGCCCCGTGCCGCTCCCAGCCCGGCGTCGCTCAGCAACCCCTCCCCACCCCCCACTGCCCCCCCGCCGCGTCCTCCTTCGGATCCCAGTCCCCGCGCGCCCTGCGCGCCCTGCGCTCCTAGCTCCGCGTTCCTCCGGCGCCGCTCCCGTCGGCTACCGGCGGGGCGGGGCCTCGGAGGCGGAAGTGCCGCGGGCGCCGGTGTCTGGGACCGGCCGGGACGATGGGAGCCCGGGGCAGCGGCGGCAGGGTCCGTAGTGGCGGCGGTGGCTGCCCGGGCGGCGGCCGGAGCAGGTGGCCAAGGACGCGGTCCGGGTAGTGCCGGGCCGAGCGCAAAGCCATGGGCTGGGTTGGGCTCGGGACCCGGGGAGCTGCGGTGGCGGTGGCAGTAGCGGGGCCGCTGTTGCTGCTGCTGCTGGCTCGGCCCTCTCCTGCCGCCACCCGCGACATCAGTAAGAGTGGTGAGAGAGCGGGGACGGTGGGTGCCAACCCGCCGGCACGGGCTTGGGGTGGGGTGGGGGAGCGGCCGGGAGGCGGGGCCGGGATTGTGACTCACCTGGGGGCATTTTTGCGCTCACCTAGCGCGGGCTCAGTGCCCAGGTCTCCACCCCGGGTTGGGGGTTTAGGTCAATCCCTTTCGTGTTCGAGCGATCGGGGTGTAAAGGACGTGCTTGACCCCTCCTCTGTCCCCAGGGTCGGGTTCGGCCTAATGGACCCCTGGAACGCGCCCTCCCTCTCTCTTCCTCCTTCTAACACTGGGATGTGGGCGGATCGAGGGGTCCCGGGGGACTCAGCTCAGGCTCCAGCTGAGAGGCCGCTGAAAAGAAGGGTTAATAAGCAGTGTGATTGGGTGGGGGGAAAGGGGGGATCTGGACTGGAGAAGGGGCAGAGTTAAGAGAAAGTTGCACAGATCCTGGAGTAGGGGCCCAGGTGGGTGCCATGTTTCCACCCCTCCCACAGTGACCACCAACCCTAGTGCAGTCTTTCAACAGCTGCCTTGCTTCCTGGAGGGCTGTGGCCCTGAGGAACTTGGTAGGGGAGGATGATCTGGAGGAAATGGGTACTTCATTGGTGTTGGTGAACTTGCTTCCCTCCATTTGCATTTCTGCATCCTTGAGAGGCCCCAGTCTTCCAGGACCCAAGATTGGTACCTAGGCAGGAAGTGCTACCCTTGGAGTTCTGCCTGGGGTTTGGGGGTGTTGAGTAAGCTCCCCTGACTCCTATGGCCTGGGACTCCAATGGGGCCATGAGGCCAGGCTGGCAGGGCTGCTGCAAAGGCCAGATGCCTCCCCCGCCCCCCCTACCCCCTCTACCCCCCCCTCCCTACCCTCGCCCTCCCTGGGCAGTTAGGCAGCCATACCCAGCACAGCCTAGGACTAACTCACCTTGATTTTTGTGCTCCCAGCCCCTCCTCCTTTTCTGAAATCTTGCTCCTCCAAGCTCCTATTTCTTTGAAGACTGTGCCTTTGGTTTCTGAGCTTGAAATGGAAGGCGGTTTCTCCGAGATGACTCCTGATTAAGTTGCTCCATTAGATACTGCCACCCTCATTTTCTCCGTCCTGGAGGAGGGGTGGAGTGGGATGAGGGGTCACTGGTGGACAGTTTCTGGAGATGGAAACCTGGGGCATCCCCTTACCTCCTGGCCAGCTTGAGGGGCAGACAGCAATGTAGCCCTGGCTTCTGGAAACTATGGGTGTGCAGGGGTCCTGGTTTGGAGGGTGCCCTCACTCAAGTTCCCAGGTCAGGCTCAGGAACGTTCTTTGTTCTCCCCACAACCCTGTGTCCTTGGAGGGGGCTATGGGGCAGGGCAGGGGTACATACAGCACTTATTCCCTGTTATCAGAGATGTGACTTCCACATTAGGCTCAGACTGATGTGTTAATGGCTTGGTATGTTTACCAAGATAACAGTGTGAGCATCTTGGGCAGAGAGATGGGGCTGCAGAGATAAGGGGGTGTCCTGAAGGGGCTCAAAAGCCCTGGGAGTGGGGACCACTGCATCTTAAGGTGACCTTGAGCACATCTCTGATCTCTTGTGCATCTGCTGAAACTTCACAGCTACCAGCTGGGTTCCAGGTGTCCTCAAGCTGGCACTGCAGGGCTGGCGGGGCCAGAAGGACTTGCCTCTCTCAAGTCAGAGGGCTGCACAGTGCAGTGTGACCTCCCCTTTGGGGTCCCATCCAGAGGCTAGCCCCACTGGCTGACTGTAGCCCCATAGTCCTGAGGTGGGGGTGGGGAGCTATCCTGTTTCACCTCCCAGCCTTTGGCCCTTGTCATATCATCCTAGGGGCTGCAGGAGCTTTAGGAGAAAAGTTTGTGCTAGTTCAGTGGCTCCTAGCCTCCTCAGGCCATGGCCAGGTGAGTGGAATGTGGTGGTCAGCAGACACCCAGAAAGCCTGGAGTGTGTCCTACATGGAGCCTACCTCTGCCTAGCCCCCCATGTTGGGCTCCTCTGGAGCTCAGACTGTCTTTGAAAGTAGGTTGTTATATTTTCTCAAGGTTCCTCCATTGGAAGGTCAGGAGGCTGGCAGGAGAGCCAGCTGCTCAACTGGCTCCCTCACCTGCTCACCTGACTCACACTGAAGGGGCCCAGGGTCTGCTGCTGGGGTTGTGTGAGCCAGCAACTCCTAGCAGGGTAGAGGGAGGCTGCCCTCTGCTGTGTCCACAGGGTATTTCTTTCAGAAGCACTTTAGCATCCCTTAACCTTGGAGGGAGGGACACCCAAGGGGAGGTGCTAAATCCTGGACCAAATCATGAGGAAACTGGGACACAGAGAAAGGGTTGGATACCCAAGGTCACAGGGGGCACAAGGCCTAAGCTGGTACTGGGTTCAGGATCCCTGCCATCCATTCTAGGGAGATGGCGGATCCCAGGCCTGGTAATCCACCTATGGGAGTGCAGAGCATGCCTGTTCTGTGGGAGTTCCAATAGGGAGGGGCCTGGGCGGGCACCCTCACTCACTCATGGGGCAGGTGATTGATTATACTATAGGACCCAGATATATGCTGTCATGGAGGTGGTGCCCTAGTCAGTGGACACCCTAGGAGGTGCCTAACCTAGATGGGGCTTAGGCCTTTGAGCTGAGTCTCAGAAGCTCCTCAGAGCTGCTCCAGGAAATGTTGGTATGACAGGAAGTGAGCAGTGAGGGCAAATTTTTGGAGTGTGTCAGGGAAGGGAGCAGGGGGCTGAGGCCACAGAGGTGGGGGACTGAGAGTCACTGTAGGGATTGGGGTGTGGGGAGCCCCAGGTAAAGCCCTGGGCAGAATGGGGGCCAGCTGTCCTCTGGTCCCATGGCTGGCTAGGCTTCCAGTCTGGGGTCCCCTCCACCCAGGGTCTCTGCTTGCCACCTCTCTGGGTGAGGGGACTCAGGCTTCAGTCCAGCTGTGTCCCAGATCATCATGGGCCTGAGCTCTCTCACTTGTCAAGTGGGATCGGTTGCCAGAGGCAACTTCCAGGGGCTGGAGGGGAAGGGACAATAACCTTTGCCAAGGTGAAAGTTGGAGAGCCAGGCATGCCAAGGGCTCTAGACCAGCCCACCATGGCTTCCCTCATCCTTTCTCTCTGGGGCCATGCCAGGGGAGAAGGCCTCTGAATTCTCTGTTTGCTCCCCACATGGAGGTGGGGCCATCTTGGGACACCCTGGTCTGGCTGACAGTGCTTTCTCCCCGCAGGCATCAGGCTGGTGTCTGAGCAGTTCTCGCAGTCCCCGCAGAGGCTGTCTTTCTACAGCTGGTACGGAAGTGCCAGACTCTTCCACTTCCGAGTGCCCCCGGATACCGTGCTGCTGCGCTGGCTGCTGCAGGTGTCCCAGGGTGGTGACCCCACGTGTGCGAAGGTGGAAATCACCGTGTAGGTGCCTGCCTGCCCGCCTGCCCGCGCCTGGCCCAGGGCCGACATCTGATGCCTGCCCTGCTATCCCCACCTCCAGGTACTTCCGATATGGTGCCCCTCCTGTCATCAACCCACTGGGTACCAGCTTCCCTGCCAACACCTCCATGCAGCCCTCCTTCCTCATCAAGATGCTGCAGAGCAATGCTTCCATCAACATCTCCCACCCAGCACCTGGGGACTGGTTTGTGGCTGCCCACCTGCCCCCCTCATCCCAGAAGATTGAGGTGAAGGTGAGGGGTCTGCTGTCCAGAGATAGAGGGGCAGGACACATGCGTGCAGGGATGGCTGGTCCCTGTTATTTACCTCCTCGGGGTAGACCTTGTCAAGGTTCTGCTGCAGCCCTGCCTCCCCACCAGCCACCCCCAGCTAGGTTCTCTGGTCCTGCCCTTCCCCCCGCCAACCGGTCTGGGCTCTCTGCTCCTGCCCCATCCCATGCCTACGAAATTCCCTCCCCCACCTCTCCTTCTCTCCCTAGGGCTTTATTCCCACCTGTGCCTACATCTTCCAGCCTGACATGCTGGTTGTACGGGTAGTCGAGGTCTCCATCCTGGAGCCCAACACACCCTTGCCACAGACCCTCCTCTCCCAGCCCAGCTACCTCAAGTAAGTGAGGGTCTTGGGGGAGGCCCAGCCTCCGGGTTTGATGGAGCGGGTGTTGCCACTTCCTCACTGTGGGTGAGAAAGGTTGGGTTCTGGGTCTTGGGATCGTACTGGGAAGTGGAGCAACCACCCTGAGTGTGACCAATGCGGGGAGGTCATTGGAAGTCACAAAGCTTGAGCGAGGCCATCCCCCTTGGCTGCAGAATCTTCGTCCCCGAGTACACCCAGGAGCTGCTGCTGGAGCTGCAGGGCTGTGTGTCCAACAGGAGCCTAGGCTGCCCTGTGCACCTCACTGTGGGCTCAGCTACTCTGCCCAGCAACTTCCAGAAGGTGCTCACCTGCACTGGCCCCACCCAGACCTGCCGCCTGCTGTTGCCCTCGCCGCCCTGGGACCGGTGGTTGCAAGTGACAGCCAAGAGCCTGGCAGGGCCTCATGTGTGGGTGGCTTTCAGCACTGTAGCTTCTCTCACAGGTGGGCTGCATGGGGAGGCGGGCTGGGGGTGGTTCTGCCTTCGATCCCCAGCCCTTTTTCCAGCTGAGCGCCTTGTCCTCCTGACAGCCTGCAGGCCTTGGATCATCAACTTCCAACATCTCCTGCAGAACAGTCCAAACCAGAGCCGCAACACTTCCAATGGTCTGCTGCCCCCGAGCCCTGGCTACCAGGACCTTGGCAGGAGCGGCGCTGTGGGTGGTGGTCCCTTCTGCCTTCTGAGCTACCAGGTCATGCGGGAAGACATGGATGTAGTGTCTGTGCACTTCAGGCCCCTAGACAGGGTCTCAGTGCTGGTGCGGTCGGACGTGCCTTCGGTGATGCGGCTGCACCTTAACACGGGCATGGACAGTGGGGGCTCCCTCACCATCTCCCTGTGGGCCAACAAGGTGAGCACCTCCGGGCCCAGCTCAGCTCAGGGCTCAGATGTTCCCAGGCTGGATGCTGCTGCTTAGCCTTCCTGCACTGACGTTATCATGGACACTGGGTTGGGGTGGCCTTTCAGGTAACAGAATGAGCCCAATAGGCATTGGACCAGAATAGGAGCACCACTTGCAGAAAGGGAAGCTTGTTTGTTTGTTTTTAAACCCTCACCTGAGGTTTGTTTTTCACTGATTCGAGAGAGAAAGGAAAGGAGAGGGAGAGAGAGAGAAACATAGAGGTGAGAGAGAAACATCGATTGGTTGCCTCCAGTACACGCCATGGTCGGAAATTGAAGCCGCAACTCAGGACAAAGCTCTAACCAGCTGAGCCACACCAGCCAGGGCTGAGAGGCCTGTTTTATAGGTCCCTGTCAGCAGTTTGAGGGCTGTGCCTCTAGAAATGGGTGGAATCAGAGGCTGGGGGTTGCCTGGCCTGCAGGAGAGGGTCCTGGGTGGGCCTTGGGCAGTGGGAGCCACAAAGAGCGCCCAGCATCAGACTTAGGATTGACGCTGCCCGGCCACCCCTTTCAGAGTGTGATCTCCAACAACACCTTGGTGAAGATCTGCGTGAACGCTGCCTCGCCCTTCCTCAGCTTCAACACTTCGCTCAACTGCACCACAGGTATGGGCAGGAGCACCTGGCTAAGTGACCCGCCAGCCTCTCCGGCCACCTCTTACCAGGCCTTCCTGCTCCCCCTGCAGCCTTCTTCCAGGGGTATCCCCTGTCTTTGAGCACCGTGTCTCGCAAGGCCAACCTTATCATTCCCTACCCAGAGACCGACAGCTGGTACCTCTCCCTGCAGCTCGTGTGCCTTCAGAGTCCTGAGTAAGTAAACTTGGGGGCTAGGGTGGGAGCCACCCAGAGCTGCCAGGTGGGAGAGTCATTGCATTCGGGGCCATGATCGGGCTGCCTGCATCTGAGTCTGAAAGTGACCTAGCTTCCTATAAGCCACACAGGATAAACTGCCTTCCGGGAGTTATGAAGTTCTCCCCTTCTCCACATGGCCACCCTGCTCGGGCAGCCCTGGGAGTCAGCATCCCAGTCTGTCTAGGGCTGTTCTGAACCAGGCTGTCCTGAGGGGACTGGCTCAGCACAGCCCTAGACAGACTGGGATGCAGTGTGGTGCGAAGGGGAAGGGGCATCTTGGCTTCTGTGGATCTCACAGCTGCTGTCTTCCAGGGCTCAGGGCCTGGGGACCTCAATTCTGGGCTCATGTGTCCAAAACCTGACTGGAGCCCTGGCAGAGACTGGCCAGCAGACCTCGGCAGCCAGCTTTCCTATGGCCCCTTCCTCGCAGGGAGTGTGAGAAGTCCCCGGTCCTCGTGGAGACGACCTTGTCTTTGGTGCCCTGCTTGAATGACTGTGGACCTTACGGCCAGTGCCTCCTGCTACGCAGACATGGCTACCTGTATGCGGGGTGTAGCTGCAAAGCAGGTGAGGGCCAGGCCTGGATGCCTCCAGACAATACTATCGTTGACTTCTCAGCCCTGTGCCTTCCTCTAGGAGCCCATCCCCCTCTGCCAAGGCTGGAGAGCACCCTCACAGAACAAGAGCAAATGCCTTCTCCCCACTCCTGCCACATACCTCCCCCATGCAAGCACAGAAAGGCACCCCCAGAGATGGCACTGCCTCTGATCTTGGCCTCCTCTGCCCACACCTGCTCACAGACATGTCCCATACCTGACTCACACCTGCCTACATCTGCTCCATACCTTCCCACACGTGTCCCACACCTGCCTCATAGCTGTCGGCCCCTGCCCACACTAGCCTATCCTTACCCACACGTGCCCCACTACCTACACCTGTCCTAGCCTGCTCCTAGGTGAGAAGGGACTTCTCTGCAGGGCCTTGGGTGAGGGTGGGCTCTGAGGTTCAGAAGTGCCTCCCCCATTAGCCTGGCCTCAGTTGCCCTACCTCAGCCCGCTCAGCATTGCCCTGCCCACAGGCTGGCGTGGGTGGAGCTGCACGGACAACAGCACAGCCCAGTCTGTAGCCCAGCAGAGGATGGCTGCGCTCCTACTCACCCTCAGCAACCTCATGTTCCTGGCTCCCATCACCCTCTCTGTGTACCGCTCCCTCCTGGTGGAAGCCTCCGTCTATGCCTACACCATGTTTTTCTCCACGGTAGGCTTGCCTGCTCCCTTGGGGATGGTGGGGAGGTCTGGGCCGCCGCTCACCGCCCTGCCCTGCAGTTCTATCACGCCTGCGACCAGCCGGGGGAGGCAGTGCTGTGCATCCTCAACTATGACACCCTGCAGTACTGCGACTTCCTGGGCTCTGGAGTGTCCATCTGGGTCACCATCCTCTGCATGGCACGGCTGAAGGCAGCCCTGAAATATGTGAGTGACCTCCTGACACCCAGGTCTGGGTTCTGAGGGAGCAGAGGCCCCTGCCTGCTGAGGAAGAGATCAGAAAGAGGATTCAGCTGCTGCCATTAGAAACCTCCCATCTTTCCTAATGACCAGTCTCCCTCTGGAAGAAGCCTCTGGCAGCTGGAAGGGACAGTGCTGGCTGCTTGGAGGATTCCAGGAAAAGAAGGTGGAAGATAGGGTTAGGCAAGGACCTTCCTAGCCTGTTTCTCTCTCAAGCTCTATTTAAAGGGATGCCTAGAGCCCCAACCCAGGCCAGACCTCCCTGAGAAGTCCCGGATGTGCTCCTGGGGTCTCTGGTGCTGAGAACACTGTGGAGTTTTTTCTGCCACAGCCGGGCGTGGCTGATGGAGACATGTGGCCTGGTGCCTGCCTGGCTAAGTTGTGCCTCAGGATGAATCAGTGTCTAGAGGAGAGGTGCCTCCCTCCCTGACAGTGGAGCAGAACAGTGTGCCAGCAGCTCCAAGGGTGCGGGCAGAGGTGTTGGGGGGCAGCGGGCCAATAACAGGATGACCAGCATGCCCAGGCCATGTGCTCCTGCTGGACCTTGTGCCGTCATGGACAGCGTTGGCCTCGGGTTTCTGTGACCCTGTGATTGTCTGTGTGCCTTGCTCAGGTTCTGCTGCTCCTGGGCACGCTGGTGTTCGCCATGTCCTTGCAGCTGGACCGCAGGGGCGCCTGGAACATGATGGGGCCTTGTCTCTTTGCCTTTGTGGTCATGGTCACCATGTGGGTAAGGAGCTCTTGCCCAGACCCCATCTCCTGTTAACTGGAATAAGAGAATGTTGTCTCCCCCGTAGACCCCCCGCTCTGGGAGAAGAGAGCCTGGCCACGGATTCTGGCCATGTTCCTGGTCCTGGGTCTGAGTCCTCCATATAAATATTTTTTTGGTTAATCCTCACCTGAGGATATTTTTCCATTGATTTTTACTGAGAGAGCGGAAGGGAGAGGGAGAGGGAGAGACAGAGAGAGAGAAACACCAGTGTGAGAGAGACATCAATTGGTTGCCTCCCCCACGTGCCCTGACCAGGGCCAGGGATTGAGCCTGCAACTGAGCCCGTACCCTCGACCAGAATCAAACCCAGGCACCTTCAGTCTGCAGGCCAACGCTCTATCTACTGAGCCATGCCGGCCAGGGCAAGTCCTCCCTGTTCGCTGAGGCCTGGGCACTGGTACTCAAGGCCTGCGTGGCTTCATGCTGAGGCCCAGGCCTGAGGACCCATCAGGTCTCTGTGCCCTTGAGCCCCTTCCGAGTATTGCACATCCCTGGTCCTGCTACGCAGACTTGGGTGGGCCCCTGGGAGGTACAGCTGCAGCCCCTGTGCCAATGCTCTTGTGATGGTTCCCTCCAGGTGTACCGCTGTGGGCACCGACGCCACTGCTACCCTACCTCCTGGCAGCGCTGGGTCTTCTTTCTCCTGCCTGGCATCTCCATGGCCACTGTGGCCATTTCCATCTATGCCTCCATGATGACCAGTGGCAACTATTACTATACCCACAGCATCTGGCACATGCTGCTGGCAGGGAGCACGGCGTTCCTGCTGCCCCCACGTGACAAGCACACTGAGCCCTGGGCCTGCTCACAGAAGCTCACCTGCCACTATCAGATCTGTAAGAACCACCAGGAGGAGCTGTACACGGTGACATGATGCAGCCAACTCAGGGACATGCACAGCTTTGATGACAACCTCTTCAGCCAGGGGCAGGACCACGGGAGAGGGACCTTGTCCGGATAGATTGCCAACTGAATAAAATGGCCCTGCTCACCCATTTGCTTCCTCCTGCCGAGGAGAGGACCACACCCCCCAATTAATTCCCTAGTCCTTCCTGGCTGCCAGCTGACCCCATCCTCTGCAGGCCCAGCTGGTATCTGCAGTGGCCCCTGGGGCCAGAGCCTGGCTGCCTGGAGACCACAGGTGCCGTTTGGAGGCAGGCTCTGTGTTCTGCCGGCCAGGCGACAATTGGAGATGTGGAGAAAGATTCTCTTATCACCCTGTTCTCCTGTGAGGCTGTGATGTGAGACCCAGGGAGGCAGAGGAGACTTGAGCCCACCTCCCACAGGCCCCCAACACACTGAGGCTTAGAGCTGTGCCCCTAAATGCCAGTTTATCTTGGGTATGGGCATGCCCCCTGCTGATGCAGTTGCCCTGGGGAGGGGTGACCATGGCCACCAGAGAGCTGACTGGCACTGGGGGACATAGGGTTCAGCTGCCATGAGTGGTGGCACAGGAGAGGCTGGCTTCTGGCTGTAGTGCCCTCTCCTTCCCCTTCCTTTGGTTCTCAGCTTTGAAGCTGCAGGCCCCTGAGAAGAGCTTCCCGGGAAGGGGGCTGCCGAGCTGCTCTGTGGGTGCCAGCAATGTAGGGTATACTCTGCTCCAACTCTGTGTCCCCTCTCTTCCCCTGGGGAGCATCCTCTTGATTTGCTGTCAGGAGTGGAGGTGATGGCTGCCCCCCTGCACTGGCCCAAGCACGTGTTTGGTTAGGGGGCTGCCAGAGAGACCTGGCCCAGCCTTTCTCCCTCTTCTTGGGGGAAGCATGGTAAGGGACGATGGCTGCCCCAAGGAGCAGTGCCCTGCCCCTTCCCAAGGCAAGAGCACAGCGGGCTGCTGTGTGAGGGATGTGGAACAGGGCCAATGCGAAGCCCGGTCACTGAGGCCAGGCTCAGAGCCCTTGGGGCTTCCCTTCGGGGTCCTGTCCAGGCTGTGGCCTCACTAGAGGCCTCCCCCCATGTCCAGTCACTCTGCATATGGCCAACATAGCATTCGCTAGGCTTATAAAGGGGAAACATTTATATATGGTGTTTTTGGGGGTAAAAATATTTAAGACTAATATATTTTTATGTAGCTCTGATTTCACTGTGATTGGTTAATTTAATACTCTACAGTTATATATACTTTTAAAATCCTCACGCAAGGATATGTTTAGAGAGGAAGGGCTCCTATGGGCCCTGACTGAGGATCGAACCCGCAACCCTTTGGTGTATGAAATGGCGCTCCAACCAACAGCCACCCCGCCGGGGCTACGGTTATATTTCAAGGCAAGAGTTTTTGCTTTTTGTTTTTTTTTGAGCTCCTGGGAGGAAAGCAGGTAGACCCGGGGATGACAAGGCCTGTCCCCCAGGCTGCTGCTCGCCCCAAACCGGCCTTTCTTGACGGTGCCTAGCGCCGCCTCAGGCTTCGCGGGGCGTTTTTCCACGGTCCCTTGACGGCGGAAAAGTGGGCGGGATAGCGATAGAGTGACGGGCTTTGCGGCCAGCCAGAGGCGGGTGGAGAGCACGTTGCCGCAGCACAACTTCCGGTTCCGGCGGGGCGCGGAGCTCGGAGAGGTACTCGGGTTCTAGCGGGTTGTCCCCCTGGTGAACGTGGAGGTCGGGAGCCGGGTTAGCGCGGGGATCTGAAGCCGGGGTTGGGGTAGGGGCTGCGCTAGAGTCCGGGTGAAGTTTAGCCGGGCTGCGTCGTGATGGCGGTCTTCTGCCTCCCGCCAGGCTGGCCGCGATGCCCTTGCACAAGTTCCCCGTCTTTCTATGGAAGCGGTTGCAGCTGCGGGAGGGCATCTACGCCCGCCTGCCCCAGCACTACCTTCGCTCACTGGAGGAGACGCGGACGCCCGCTCCCGTGCACTACAGGCCACACGGGGCCAAGTTCAAGATTAACCCCAAAAATGGGCAGCGGGAGCGCGTGGAGGACGTGCCCATTCCCATTCACTACCCCCGCGAGTCCCAGCGGGGGCTCTGGGGCGGCGAGGGCTGGATCCTGGGCCACAGATATGTCAACAACCACAAGGTGGGTGAGCAGGGCAAGCTTCAGGCGCGGGGGGGCTTCCCCGGGGTTTTGCTGCTCTGGACACCGTGCTGGGCTCCGAGGGATCTGGGGAGCCAAAGAGAGACCGGCCAGTCCCAGGAGGCCTTACGGTCTGGTGAGACAGCTCCCTCAAAGGAGCACGCCAGAGAGAAAAGGCACAGTCCCAGGGAACACAGCTCTTTGTAAAACCAACTGGATATCCTGAGACAGGGGGATCCATGATGGGGAACAGCGAGTGCAGAGGCCCTGCGGTTGTGGCACAGCTCAAGTGTAAGGATGGGGAGGCCTGCGTGGTGAGGGGTGAGGGGGGTCTGCAGTCACCTGTCAGCTTGAATCACCATAGTTTGTCTCTGACACTTCTCCTGACACAACCACCTCCTCCTGGACGGAGACACTCACCTGAGGGCACGTCTCCCAGGTTTGTGGCCAACACCTGCTGCCTCTGGTGGTAAACCTGGAGGGACCGCTGAGCCCTCTTGGGGAGGCCTCCCAGGCTGGCAAGGACTTCCCTTTGCCTTCTTGGTCCCTGGTGTGGAATGTAATAACTCGGGAGACATGGAGTTATGATTGTGTGTGTGGTGTGTCTGGAACACACACCAGCAGCCTTGGCAAAGCCTGGAGTGCCACATTGGGTAGAAGCTGACTTCCAGATGGGCAAACAGGTCTGTGTTCTGAGTCTCTATGCTTTGTTGGGAGGAGCAGCCATACTCATGAAGACTCTTGCTTTCTCAGCTCTCAAAGAGGGTAAAGAAGGTGTGGAAGCCACAGCTGTTTGAGCGCGAGCTCTACAGTGAGATCCTGGACAAGAAGTTCTCCGTGACTGTGACTATGCGGACCCTGGACCTCATCGATGAGGCCTATGGGTTTGACTTCTACATCCTGAAGGCAAGAGGGGTCTGATGGTCTGGCGGAGAGGGGAGGCTAGATCACAGCACCCACTGGGGCACGCTGGTCTCTGGAGTGGAGGGTCACCGATGAGATGTGAGTGGGACCATGCCCCTTTTGGGGCAGCCCCCGTGGGGGCTTTCTGCCCACAGGAAAGTTTGTTGCTGTGGGCGGCTCTGTTGTTCTCCAGAGCCCAAGTGGACACAGCCTCCTCTTTTCCTGTTCTTGGCTCTTCCTTCCTCTGTTCTGTCCTGGGGACTGCCAGCTGCTAGGGAGTATCCTGGTGGGTGGGACCCTGCCAGCAGCACCTGGCCCCATTTATAGCTTCCTGCCAGACCCCGAAGGAGGACCTGTGCTCCAAGTTTGGGATGGACCTGAAGCGAGGGATGCTGTTGCGGCTTGCCCGACGGGACCCCCAGCTGCACCCAGATGACCCTGAGAGGAGGGCAGCCATCTATGACAAGTATAAGGTGAGGGTTTGGGCCTGGACTTCTGCTCATGGGCCCCAGTGACTGACCACCTGGCCTCACCACATGCTCCTTGTCTGCCTGCCAGGAGTTTGTCATCCCAGAGGAGGAGGCTGAGTGGGTCGGCCTGACACTGGATGAAGCTGTGGAGAAGCAGAGGCTTCTGGAGGAGAAGGTGAGCGTGTGTGAGTGCCAGCAGCTCTACCCTCTTGGGTGGCACAGCGGCCAAGCAGACAGTTGGGGGAGGGAGGAAGTGCACTGCCTTGACTGAGGGGCTGCCCACACCATGTGGGCTTGGGAAAGAGCTGTTCCTGCCCAGCTCCCCAGCCGGAGCCACAGTCCTGTGGATTCCACATGGCACATTCCCTCCCCTCATGGTTCTGCCCCTCTCCTGCTCCCTCTGGCCAACTTCATAGGTTCAGGGACAGAAAGTCTCTCGGTGATAAGAGCTGGCATCTTGCACCGTTGGTTTACTTAGCCACTTAGCATCCCTCAGGGTCTTCCCAGTTGAGACCTTTGTGTCTGTCCCTTAGGAGGGTGTGGAGCGTGTGGTAGCCGCCGGGACAGAGAGCTCCCACCCATGGCAAAGCAGCTGTCTGCCTGTGTTCCCTCTGTTTCGTTTTAGCTGTTTCCATTAAGCCCCAAGGCAGGGAAACCAGAGGCAGGAGCCTGATTCCTGCATCCCCAAGGGAAGGCTATCTCTGTCTCATGGACAGGACACTATCCTCTGGACTGGGGACTAAGGGGTGACAAGCTGAGGGGCCTCACTGGACCCTGTGGCCAAGCCTGAGAGGCCCAGTCCTCTCATTCCTAGTTCCTCTTGGTGTTTGGCCAAAGGCAGCTGGGTTTCTGTCCTCCCAAAAGTGCCTCACTATGACCCCGTCTTGCCCCTGTAGGATCCCGTCCCTCTGTTCAAGGTCTACGTGGAAGAGCTAATTGAGCGGCTTCAGCAACAGGCACTGTCTGAGCCAGCGGTGATGCAGAAGAGAGCCAGCGGGAAGTGACCACATAGTGACTGACGCACGCCTGATAGCCAGGCTCAGTGTCCCTTGTCCCCCGGCCAGCCCACCGCTCCACCTTTTGGCACCATAGACATGGCCTGGGGCGGTGGAAGAGCCACTTGTGGGCAGTGGCTGAACCGTTCCTGTGTGTGCTGGCTGTGAAGCTTCTGGGTGGGGTGGACTTTGTGGAGGCCCTAATGGACCTCTGGTCCCAGGATCCCCAGCGGCCTGGGGCCTTCTCACTGCCTCTGAGGTCTCTTTTCCGCCTGCAGCGGGGACCTAGTTGAGGAAGGTTCACCACATTTCGGGGTCAGCACAAGTAAAGTCTTGAGCTGGGCCATGTGTGTGCTGCTTGCTTAGAGGATTGGAGCTCTCCTGCATATTCCTTGACCCCATTACCCCCCTGCCCAGAGACCCTGGACATGGCTGAGAGGGACGGTGGTGCCCAGCTGAGCTGTGGGACTAAGGTTTGTTTTGAGGTTTTTCTCTCCTCTGGGAGAGAATCCTGAGAAATTGAAGGTGCTCTGCAATAGGGTTGGATGGTGCTTGCCTCTCCGCATTGCACATCCTGCCTGTTTTGGAATGTTTTCCAGAGCAGAGGCAAGGAGGCTGTGGTC